CTTTTTTCTTTTTGCTTATGTGGTGCTGAGGAATCGAACCCAGGGCCTCAGGCATGCAAGACAAGCGCTCTACCACTGAGCCACCTTCCCAGCCCCCCTTTGGTTATTTTTTTGTGCTGGTACTGGGGTTTGAACTGGTCTTGCACTTGCTTGGCTTCCTGCTCATTTGAGCACTTGAGCCACACCTCCGTTCCAACTCTTTGCTAATTATTTTAGAGGTGCGACTTCATAAGCTTTGCTGGGCCAGCTACCTTTACACCTCAATCTTCTAGATCTTAGCCTTCTGAGTAATGAGGGTCACAGGTGTGAGCCGCTGAAGTCTGGCCCAGTTCTTGTCAAGGAATGATACCTTGTGGCATAAAATGACCCTTTCATTATGCCTCTGAAGCCAGCAAGTCTGGACTTCCAATGGGATCTGTAGGGATGACTTCTTTGCTTTGAGATGTCTGAGACAATAGTTGGAAAATTGAAAGGCTGGGGTGACCTGACAAATGGGGGCTGTCTCATCCTTCATGTGTTTGGCAGGAAGTGCTGGCTTTTGGCTGGGAGCCCTCCATGTGGACTCTTCCTGTAGGTGGGCTTTGTAGATAGTGTCTGAGTTTTAGAGTAATTGTCCCCAAAGGAAGAGAGTGGAAAGTGCCAGCTCTGTAAGGTCCAGAGAATGACACAGCATCAGTTCTGCAATATTCCATGGGCCAGGCCTCCAGAGAGGCCAGATTGCAGGGTACATAGACCTACCTCTCCATGGGAGACCTGCCAAGGAATCTGTGGGCCATTGTTAAAATGTGCCACACTTACAACTGCCTCCATTGTTTGGCCAAGGGCTCAGGGAAGCCAGCCCTCTGCTGGCAGGCCTGCTCCAATAGGTTGGCTTTATTTGCAGAGAAAAGAAACACAAGAACTGGAGGTGTAGCCAGGAGTAGATTGTTTGCCTAGTATATATGAGGTTCTGAGTTTGATTCCCAGCAACACATACACACACACACACACACACACACACACACACACACACACACACACACACCACCAAACTCACCAGCCTTCTATGCCACTTATTCATGAAGTGCTTACTAGAGAAATGTAGCTGGGCACCAGTGGCTCACACCTGTAATCCCCACTACTCAGGAGGCTAAGATCTGAGGATCTTGGTTCAAAGCCAGTCAAAGCAAACAAGTCCCTGAGACTCTTATCTCCAATGAATCAGCATAACATTGAAAGTGGAGGTGTGACTTAAGTGGTAGAATGCCAACTTTGAGAGACAGAGAAAGACAACAAAATCACCAAGGCCTGATTTCAAGCTCCAGTACACACACACACACACACACACACACACACACACACACACGTGTGCTTACTGGCATGAGTGCATGCTTGCTTGCATGCATGAGGAATGTGTATTATAAGGGTCGGTCCGAGAGCCAGGCGCCGGTGGCTCATGCCTGTAATCCTAGCTACTCATGAGGCTGAGATCTGAGGATCTCAGTTTAAAGCTAGCTCAGGTAGGAAAGTCGGTGACCCTCTTATCTCCAATAATCCACTAGAAAACCGGAAGTGGCGCTGTGGCGCAAGCAGTAGAGTGCTTGCCTTGAACTGAAGAACTGAGGAACAGCGCCCAAGCCCAGAGTTCAAGCCCCACGACTGACCAAAAAAAAAAAAAAAAGAGAAGGAACTGGAGCTGTCAGAGATGTTCTAATGTCTACCATGTGCCAGGAATGATTTAAAAAAAACAAAAAAGCCAAGTGCGGATGGCTCATACCTGTAATCCTTGCTACTCAGGAGGCTGAACATCGCAGTTCAAAGCCAGCCAGGGCAGAGAAGTCTCCATGAGTCTCATCTCCAATTAACCACTCAAACACCAGAAGTGGTGCTGTGGCTCAAAGTGGTAGAGCAAAAGAGTTCAAGAACAGCACCCAGACGCTTTGTTCAAGGCCCACAAAGGACAAAACAAAACAAAAAGCTTAGAGCGGCAGATGGGAAGAAGGTAAACATTGATACAATGGTGCCATAACTGAAAGATTCTTGGAGAAAGGGCTCTGTTCCACCCCAGCAGCTCAGAGAGACCTTTGCAGTAAAGGTAATGTCTGAGTCATCGCAGAAGGGCATCCCAGGTAGAGGGACAAGCCAGGGCAAAGGCAGAGAGAACAAATTGTTAGGGCAACTATAGGTGATTCAGTGTAGCTGCTAGGGTGGGCTGAGGTATGCAGTGCTGAGAGATTAAGTTCCAGGGACATGTAGGAGCTCGATTCCAAGGAATACTAAAAACATAGGTCACTTAGTGTTGAGAGTCCGGGGCTAGAAATGTGGCTCAAGTGGTAGAGTGCCTGTCTACCAAGGGTGAAGCCCTGAGTTCAAACCCCATTACTAGCATCAATAAAAAGGAAAAGGGCTGGGTACCAGTAGCTCATTCCTGTAATCCTAACTACTCAAGAGGCTGACATTTGAGGATCATAGTTCAAAAATAGCCTGGACAGAGAAGTCTGTGAGATTTTTATCTACAACTAACTAGCAAAAAGCTACAAATGGAGGTGTGGTGCAAGTGGTAGAGCGCCAGCCTTGCGTGATAAAAGCCAAACATGAGTGCAAGGTCCTGAAATTAAACTCCAGTATGGGGGTACATGCACATGAGCACACGTGCATGCGTACACACGTGCACACATGCGCACACACACACACACACTCAAATCCCATGAAATTACACTTTTTTTTGAGGTAGGGTCTGACTCCATAGCCCAAGCTGGTTTTGTACTTGAAATCCTTCTGCTAGCTAGGCACTGGTGGCTCACGCCTGTAATCCTAGCTACTCAAGAGGCTAAGATCTAAGGATCGCTGTTCAAAGCTAGCCTGTGCAGGAAAGTCCATGAGACTCTTATCTCCAATAAACCACCAGAAAACCAGAAGTGGCATTATGTGATTCACAGTGGTAGAGCACTAGCCTTGAGCAAAAGAGCTGAGGGACAGTACCTAGGCTCTGAGTTCAAGCCCCATAACCAACAAAGAAAATAAAATAAAAAAAGGAAAAAAATCCTTCTGTTTCAGTTAGTCCAAATACTGGGACTAAACAAGATAGATAGATAGATAGATAGATTTCACAACATTCTTGTATCATTGCATTTCATTGAATTTAAGATACTATTATTGTAATACATACTATTGGCTTTTTTTGTATTGCTAAAGAAAATGGAACATGGCATACCTCCAACTTAGGATACATTCTGACTTCAGAGATGTTAAAATGTAAACACAGAAGAAAAAGACCATCAAACAAAATGTATACCTTATCTGTATTTAGAAGATGAGCAGGAAGCTGGACGCTGGTGGTTCATGCCTGGAATTCTAGCTACTCAAGAGGTTGAGATCTGAGGATTGTGATTCAAAGCCAGCCCAGGCAGGAAAAGTTAGTGAAATGCTTATCTCCAATTAACCACCAAAGAAAGCTAAATGTGGAGCAGTGGCTTAAGTGGTAGAATGCTAGCCTTGAACACAAAAACTTAGGGACAGTGCCCAGGTCCTAAGTTCAAGCCTTGGGGCACACACACACACACACACACAATGGAGCTTGGGATATAGCTTAGTGTATAGCACATGCCTACTAGTATATCTAAAGGTCTTAGGTTCAAGTCCCAGAGGTAAATAAATAAGACAATAGGCACAGAGAAGTTAAATGAGCTGCCCCAAGGTCCAGTAAGAGAGCCGAGATTTAAAATCAGTTTGCTCAGGGAAATGGATGGAACTGGAACAAATCATGTTAAGTGAGGTAAACCAAGATCATAGAGACAAACGGCCCATGTTCTCCCTGATACACAGAAATTAGGTCTAAAATGCACTGGGATATGACAAATTACACAGGATTCTAGATACTCATATGTAGTGAGACCAGAATAGGATAGCCTTAGGAGAGAATTACAAGGTAGAATACCCAAGCACTCTTCATACTTATATAAAATAATATACATACTGAAACAAACTCCAAAGATATGGAAACAAAGGACTCCTCCTCCTCCTCCTCCTCCTCCTCCTCCTTCTTCTTCTTCTTGTTTTTTTTTTTGTCAGTCCT